AAAAGCGCCGAACTTAACATAGGGTAACTAAGTGAACAATGGCTCGCCAAAATATGCCACTCAAACCTACCCCGCAAAACATCAAAATGGTAACCTTCGTGCCCGTGCGAAAGGCCCACATGCCCGTGACGATGCCGTGCGAAACCCGTGCGCGTTTTTGTGTACCGGCACCCTGAAAAGTTGTGTTCCTCTGTCAGGCTCAAGGTGTAGAGGATTTCTATTGACTATCCCAAACAGCGTTGCTGTGTGTGAACACTGTACAAATAGAACCGGCAGCATTCTTGTCTTGTCTCGTAGGTTCGTAGCAGCACGCCGGGAAACTAACTCCTACGACGTTCGTTGATTGTGTCGTACTGTAGTAGGGACGTACACACGGAGCAGGACAGGCTGCCTGACCCTGCGTGGCTGGAATAAAAATTCCTGACCCAATTCAACCCAACCGAATTTGATCCAATGTAGCCCAATCCATCCCAACCCAGTTCAACCCCATACTCCGTAAACCAAGGTTTCTTGAGCCACGTCAGACGTCTGTCACCTTCACTTGATACCCCCTCACTGACGACCTATCATTGGTTGAACCAAGTATGCCGGCAAGCCGTGATGATGTGGGCGCGTGTCAGCTTGAAGCTGAGTCAGATTGGTTTCGGTTCCACGCCGTTTTCCGTCCGAGCTTCGCGTATCCGCCTTGCGAGGTTCTGTCTCGCAAAAGCACAACGACCGTACTCTTCAACGCTACTAGGTTTCTGTACCAAGGTTTTTCCACCCATCGTCGCAAAGCGCATCGTCTTCCGCCCAGTAGAACGACACAACACGACTGTACCCACTCCGGTCTACTTCTAGTCCTAGCTGTACTGCTGCTTTCTTGGATCTTCAGCTCAGTGGTAAACTACGACACTGGTACTACGCTGAGTCTGCAGGACGTCCCTGGACTTTCAGCTCTGTGTGAGGTCTACACTGTCGTCGCCGTTACAGTCTACTGCTACAAGTTCTAACGCCACTTTCGCCGCTGCGGGGTACCTACTAGAACGTCTTCGTGCTTCTTTGTAGTGACCGATCCTGCGGTTGCCGCTGCTCCTGCTGCTCCTAGGTTTTCTGCTGCGACAACCTCCTCATTTGACCCATCTTCTCATTATCGCCCGCATATTTCTGAAGCGATACTGAGGCATGGCCCGTTCTCACGGCGTGGCTGTGATGCGACGCTCTGGCCTTGTGCTCGCTGCACTGGCTGCTCTCATGCTCTCAGGTGTGCTCTCGGGTGTGCTCTCAGGTCTCAGGTATGCCATATTTGATTGGGGAAAGAATTTCCCACCCTGGACTGACATGATGCGTCTTATCCACCATTCTCAATCCCACCCTCGCAATCTCTGGAGGCTCTTCACCACACCCTTGCCCATTCCTCCTCTTTTCCCGCTGCCCTTTTCCACTTTCGTTCCCCTTCCGCCCCTCCCCCCTTCCCCCTTCCCCCTTCCCCCCTTCCCCCCTTCCGCCCTTCAAGCCTTCCTCCCCCTTCCCCCTCCCCTTTCTCACGGCCTGTGAGCCCATAGCTTCCGTCCGCCTGCCAGCTATCAGTAACGCCCGCTGCTGCCATTCGCCTCCCCCTTTTTCAGCCATCCCTTCCTTCCCCCCTTACCCGATTCCCTTTCCTCCCTCTCTCACCCACTTTCCTCCCTCTCTCACCCACTTTCCTCCCTCTCTCACCCACTTTCCTCCCTCTCTCACCCACTTTCCTCCCTCTCTCACCCACTTTCATCCCTCTCTCACCCACTTTCCTCCCTCTCTCGCCCACTTTCCTCCCCCTCTCACCCACTTTCCTCCTCGGCAGCCCCGTGCGCCCGGGGGCTGCTGCCGTTCGCCTGCCAGCTACCAGTAACGCCGCCGATCGTAAGTTACCAGCACTCAAAGGGTTTGGGCGGGGAGTGCTCCAGTGTTCTCTATTCTTCTTATAGGATTCCACTGCATCATCCTGCGCGCGTATGTGAATCGACAACAGCACACTGTGCAATCCTGCGTGCATCGAGCACTGCGCCGTGCGCAAGTACAGTAGCACGCATGGCAATGCAGTGCACAGAACCCACCCGGTGCCTTAGTAGTCATTGCGTTCTGAATAACCCGGCAGAGTCGTGAGATCAGGGACTGTGGGGCCAATGCTGTCTGCGTGAAAGCAGAGAGGCGATGCATCATGCACCCCCTCTCCCTCCATTGCCTCTCCCTCGTGCCAAATACCTGGCAGACTCGTGTGTCATTCGGAACTGCGGCGCCAATGCGTACTGCGTGAAGGAGAGGGGCGATGCCGCCTGCGTCTGCAACGTTGGCTTTTCCATGACTTTCACTGGCTGCGCTGGTGAGTGCTGCTGCGCTGGCGAGTGCTGTTGAAAGGACCTCCGAAAGGTATTCACTTAGGTCCCAGGAGCCTGGTATTAGGAGCCTGCGGTGTCCGGAGCCCGGTATTCAGAGCACCCCGTCAGGAGCCCAATCAGACCGTCATCAACACAGCTGGTGGATTGTGATATCATGTGGATTATTAATTTCCTTCATCTTCTTATTCACAATCTCCCATCTCCCAACTCCCAACTTCCACGCCTAACTCCCTTCCACGCCGACTTCCCCCACACGCTCCTCCCTCCCTTCTCCTCTCAGACACTTGCGCACTAAAGAAGTGTGGTGGGAACGGCACGTGCATCAAGAACAGTGCTGGAGTGGCGTCCTGCGTTTGTGGCACTGGCTTCGTGCTGCAGGCAGATGGCAGGACGTGCACTGGTGCGTGCTGCTATGTGCTGCTGCTGAATGCTGAAACTCGTTTGTATGCTGTGCTCATGAGGCCATGTGTTGCTCTGCTTGATGACAATCTCACTCACTCACTGATTCTCATGTTTTGAGTGCTTGGTGAATTCTTATTCTCTGTTTGCATCGCCTGTCCCTTATTCTTCCCTTCCCTCCCACCCAGACACCTGCGAGCTCAAGGCGTGCGGTGGGAACGGCAGCAAGTGCCTCAGGGGCAACAAGGACAGCACTGAAACGCCCCCTTCACCTCTACTGCTCCCTCCACCTCTCCCCTCCCCCAGACACCTGTGCGCTCAAGGCGTGTGGTGGGAACGGCACGTGCACCAAGAACGCCGCTGGAGTGGCATCCTGTGTTTGTGTCGCTGGCTTTGTGCTGCAGCCTGATGGGAGAACGTGCTCTGGTAGGTGCCGCTGTGTTGCTGTGTGCTGTCCCTGTGTGCCGACCCTATATGCCACTGCTTAGCTGTGGCACTGCTGCTATGTATTTCAGCACTGAACGGTCAGTGGTATGTATCATCTGTAGTGATGGCATGCGGATAGGTTGATGGCATGTGGATAGGTTGATGGCATGCGGATAGGTTGATGGCATGCGGATAGGTTGATGTCATGTCAGAGTCGGCTTCTCTTCTGCCATACAATCCTTTCACATCTACTGTTTCTGTTCCCTCCTCCCCGCCCCAAAGACGCATGTGAGCTCAAGGCGTGTGGTGGGAATGGCACGTGCACCAAGAACGCCGCTGGAGTGGCATCCTGTGTTTGTGACGCTGGCTTTGTGCTGCAGCCTGATGGGAGAACGTGCTCTGGTAGGTGCCGCTGTGTGCCACTGTGCTGCTGTGTGCCTCCGCTATTTGCAGTCGCTTAGCTGTGTGCCGCTCTTGCTCCCGTGCTCTCATGCGTCATGTCACGCTATCCCCCCCCTGTTCCCGTGCTCTCATGCGTCATGTCACGCTATCCCCCCCTGTTCCCGTGCTCTCATGCGTCATGTCACGCTATCCCCCCCCTGTTCCCGTGCTCTCATGCGTCATGTCACGCTATCCCCCCCCTGTTCCCGTGCTCTCATGCGTCATGTCACGCTATCCCCCCCCTGTTCCCGCGCTCTCATGCGTCATGTCACGCTATCCCCCCCTGTTCCCGTGCTCTCATGCGTCATGTCATGCTATCCCCCCCTGTTCCCGTGCTCTCATGCGTCATGTCACGCTATCCCCCCCTGTTCCCGCGCTCTCATGCGTCATGTCACGCTATCCCCCCCCTGTTCCCGTGCTCTCATGCGTCATGTCACGCTATCCCCCCCCTGTTCCCGTGCTCTCATGCGTCATGTCACGCTATCCCCCCCCTGTTCCCGCGCTCTCATGCGTCATGTCACGCTATCCCCCCCCTGTTCCCGCGCTCTCATGCGTCATGTCACTCTATCCCCCCCCTGCTCCCGCGCTCTCATGTCTTCCAGAATCTGGCACATGTGGAAGCAAGGAGCCACGAGCACAGATGGACCTCTCGGCAGAGATCGGTTCTATCCCTGTCAGATCCTATCTCTGTCTCACACTATCCCTTGCTTCCTTCCTTTCTCCCCAGGAACATGTGGAAGCTGCCCCACAGGGGCCGCGTGCACTGTTGCCATGGGCCTCGTTCCGTATTGCGCCTGCCCTCCCGGCTATGGGATGCTCCACGGTGCTTGTGCCCAAGGTACGTAGGTACTGCTAGTTGGGCTTTGTTATGGTTTTAAATTTCTCAAAACCTAACACAGCCAGCCCTGCTACGGCATGCTCCATGGTGCTTGTGCCCAAGGTAGGTAGGTGCTGCTAGTTTTGGTGCTCGGCCAGTTCTACTGCACGTTGGTCCTTGCATCATTACATACTGCGTCTGTCCTTTCGGCTATGACACGCTGGCTGTGCCCCTCCATTCCTTTTCCAATTCACCCCATTCCCGTCTCTTCACCCCATTCCCGTCACTTCACCCCATTCCCGTCACTTCACCCCATTCCCGTCACTTCACCCCATTCCCGTCTCTTCACCCCCTCGTGCTCTCTTCCCCTGCCAGGAGCCACCCCCTCTGTCTCTTCCACCAGCTTCACCTTCTATGATCGCACCAACTACACAGTAACGCCCAACACCTACACCATGCGCCTGGAGTACAACGGCTGCACCAGCATCCCTGCATCTGTTGCCTCGAACGCCCTCTCGCTGTGGCGCGTCGACGGGGTGCCTGGAGGGGTGGGGAGCTGCGCGGCGCTGTATGGATACTCTTTAGGGAGCTGCCAAGGGCTGCGCACCTCGCTCCTCCCTGCCTCGAGTGGAACTGGCATGAGCGCCGGGGGGTCGATGTGAGCCACAGACCTTGTGAAAGGAGAGTCACTTGCTTTGTCTTGCGTCACTTGATGAATCCGGAGGGGGGAGGAAGGGGTGGGGGTGGGGGGGGGGTGTGGGGGTGGATGTGGGGGGGTGTGGGGGGGGGGGGGGGGGGGGGAATCTGTGCGGCTGTCCATGGGTGCCCTCAGGAGAGAGAGATGCCAAGAGCAGCGCGCACTTGGCTCCCTCCTTCCTCAAATGGATCTGGCCTGAGCCCGGAAGATGGGAAGCCGGCGCACGTGCCAAAAGCGCCGGGATTTCCATCATTCAATGTGAGCCACCTTGCTTCGTTTCCTTATGCCTTGAGGGTGCCTGGAGGGTGCCTGGAGGGGGTGCCTGGAGGGTGCCTGGAGGGTGCCTGGAGGGTGCCTGGAGGGTGCCTGGAGGGTGCCTGGAGGGTGCCTGGAGAGGGTGCCTGGAGGGTGCCTGGAGGGTGCCTGGAGGGTGCCTGGAGGGTACCTGGAGGGTGCCTGGAGGGTGCCTGGAGGGTGCCTGGAGGTCAAGAGGAGATGTGCGCTGATGCCAAGAGGGCACCCTTTGGAGAGCTCCCAATGCCAAGGGACACTGGCGTCCGTGCGTCTGTGTTGTGCCCACTTGACTTGCCCCTAACTCGAATGGAACCGGCCTGAGCGCCAGGGGTTCGTTTCGATGTGAGCCACAGCTCTGGAGGGTCGGTTCGGGAATCACAAGAACTGGGAAATTGCGAGACTTGGAAGGGGAATTACGAGGGCTGGGAAAACCACTGCAGCTCGTCTGTTGTCGCTTATGACCAGGCGAGCTGCAGTAGGTTGAAAACTGGCTCGCTCTCTCTCAAGCGGTCCTTTGTATTCATTAGGAGCCTGTGTACAGAGCTAGGCAAATGGGTCGGGAACGGGCATGCATCCTAAACCTCTCTCCCTCCCCTGGCTAGCCTACGTTAGCTCCCCAGTGGGCTCCAAAATGACGAAGCAGTCCCCGAGGGGCATGCCTTCGTCTGGCGCCCCAAGGACGGGCCCCTCGAGCGGGGAGGCTTCATTCACCTTGCCGAGGTATGAGAGGGCCTGCCCGCGCTGGAGAGTGACCGACCACCACTGCCGAAACTGGTTGAGCAGCTTGGCGGCTTGGTACGAGCTCGGGTTCGCATTGAAGAGGTGGCGGGCGCCGGTATTGGCCAAGAGCTGTAGAAAAGCGGGCACCTCGGCACAGGGACACCCGTAGGTCTCCACGGCGAGGGGGAAGAAACCGACGTACGGCGCGCGGTTGCGATAGTGGTCCATCTCCTTGTCTGCTTGCTCCCGCGCCATGTACCCCCTCCCTTTCCGTGCCAGGGGGTCGCGGCTGCTGATCGGGTCGGTGACGGTGACGTCACAGATCCATACAGCACCCGAGTCTCGGTCCCCGATTGCCAGGTCGGCAGTCTGGTCGCCAATTGGGGTATAGGTGGCAGTTTCTTTCTCGACGATGAACTGTGCATCTCGCGCCATGCGGATGCACTCGTCCCGAAGAGCATTATGCGTGTCAGTGCGCCCGTGCCCCGTCCCACAGCGTAGCAGGTGGTTCGGGAGACGCGGGTCGGGGATTTCCATCCGCTGGGCGCAGTTGCAGACCCTTGGGACCGGGAGGGGGAGGCCCAAGCGAAAGGCTAGGGCGATCGCGAAGTGCGGGGGCGGAGCCGGAGGGAGGGGAATAGGGGGATGGCCAGGAGCCAGTCCCCCGCGCCATACCCCGTGAGGGAGAAGAGGCGTATGGCCGCTGTTGGGGTTAAGCGCCATGCTGCGGCTGGCCTCCACCTGGTCAGCATAGCGGGCTGCCTGGACCTCTAGAGAAAGGCGGTGCTGCAAGGGTACATCGGACGCCTCGGCGCGTTCCGACTGCAGTAGCTCAAGGGCACGTGGCGGAAGTGTAGCTTCACACTCCGTCAGCCAGGTATGAAGGGTAGTGGGGCTGGTGAACGGATTTGCCAAGGGCCGGAGGGCTTTTGTCAGAGGGCTAGCAGCCGCAGCGGGCAGGGAGGCGAGGAGGGCGTGAGCGCGGGTGCTGCTAGTCAGGAAGGAGTGCGGGCCTTCCACCGCGGGGTCTGTGAGGCCAAGGCCTCCTAGTGAGGGCGGTAGTGAAGCTTGGGCCCAGGTGCGACACTGTTCAGTTTCCCCTCGAGGCGTCTGCAGGCCACTCGCCCGCAGGAGCGTGTAGAAGAGGTCTTGCCCCCACCTGGACCACTCGGCTGTCGGGAGCAGGTTCACGGGTGTCGTGCGCACGAGGTATGAGACTCGGCGCGAGATGCACCGGTGGAGCAGTAAGGACACCACTTGCGGGTCCATAGTGGCTAGGACAGGTAAGGGAGACGCCATGGAGGCGAGCTGGGCCCTAAGGAAGGTGGCGGCCCCCTCCGGGGGGCCGATGTGGCTGCCGAGTACTCGAAGGCCGTCCATACGGAAGGGGATCTCCGGCGGCAGCAGGTGCGGCGCCGGTCGTGTCGCCGACCAGGCGGCACACTTGTCGGGGTTGTGCGTCAGGCCAAGGTCGGCGAGGGCAGCTGTAAAATGTGTAAAGGCGGAGGTGCAATCGGCAGGGTCGCCTAGGAAGGAGGTGTCATCGGCGTAGGCGAGGCAGAGGACGGAGGGGTGGGCGTCCGCCGTGGCTCGGAGGGCGGGGTGGATAGGTGCGGCGTAGAGCAGCGGTCCGAGCGGGTCTTCCTGGCGGACTCCGCGCTCACTGAGGAGCGGAGGGCTATCAAACCCCGCGTCAAGCAGCAAACGCGATGGTTGGCCATAGGAGAACCTGACGAACGGCAGGAGGTGCTCTCTCTCCTCTCCTCTGTTGAATGGAACCGGCTTGAGTGCAGGGGGTCAACGTGCCCCCCTACTCTCATCTTCCCCTTCCCATCTGATCTCCCCCCCCCCCCCTCCCCCTCCCCCTGCCTCTTCTTCCTCTTCCTCATCTCAACCCCTCTGATCTCCCTCCCCCCCCCTGATTCTCATATTTCAATCGTTTGTCTGTCACATCATATGTCCGTGTATGCATGCATCTATCCCTCCCTGGTGCGTTTTGAGTCGACTCAAAAGTCTCCCCTTGTGCGTTTTCTCCCCCATCCGGCAGCAACTATTCGCCTGTGGGATCGTACCCCTACCGTTCCTTCAGCTGTGTTCCTCTCGGTGAGTGTTGTTTCCTGGGTGTTCTTGTCGACCCTTCAGCCCTTCAGCCCTGCTCCTCTTACTGAGCTTCTTTCCTGGGAGTTTTTACCATTCCTTCAGCTGCGTTAGTGTGGGTGGGGTGAGTGAGTGCTTTTCCTCGGTAGTCCCACCCTCACACGCCCAATTCCCTTCCCACACTCTCTCCCCGTTCGCGCCCCCTCTCCTTCCATCCTCCCATCCTCCCTTCCCACCCTTCCCACCCTTCTTACCCTTCCCACCCTTCCCACCCTTCCCTCCCCCCCCCCCCTTCCCCCGCAGGCCCCTGCGCCGTCCGGAACTGTGGAGCCAACACCACGTGCCAGGTGGACTCTGCTGGAGTGGCGTCCTGTGTTTGTTACCCGGGCTTTGAGCCGAGCAATGATGGCAGATCGTGCAGAGGTAGGCTCTGCTCTGCTGTGTGCTGCTGTATGCGGCTGTGTGCGGCTGCGTGCTGCTGTGTGCTTCTGTGTGCAGCTGTGTGCTACTGTGTGCTGCTGTGTGCTGCTGTGTGCTGCTGTGTGCAGCTCTGTGCTACTGTGTGCTGCTGTGTGCTGCTGTGTTCTGCTGTGTGCTGCTGTGTGCTGCTGTGTGCTGCCGTGTGCTGCCGTGTGCTGCCGTGTGCTGCCGTGTGCTGCCGTGTGCTGCCGTGTGCTGCCGTGTGCTGCCGTGTGCTGCCGTGTGCTGCCGTGTGCTGCCGTGTGCTGCCGTGTGCTGCCGTGTGCTGCCGTGTGCTGCCGTGTGCTGCCGTGTGCTGCCGTGTGCTGCCGTGTGCTGCCGTGTGCTGCTGTGTGCTGCTGTGTGCTGCTGTGTGCTGCTGTGTGCTGCTGTGTGCTGCTGTGTGCTGCTGTGTGCTGCTGTGTGCTGCTGTGTGCTGCTGTGTGCTGCTGTGTGCTGCTGTGTGCTGCTGTGTGCTGCTGTGTGCTGCTGTGTGCTGCTGTGTGCTGCTGTGTGCTGCTGTGTGCTGCTGTGTGCGGCTGTGTGTTGATGTGTGCTGCTGTGTGCTGCTGTGTGCTGCTGTGTACTGCTGACAGCTATCGTGTGTGTGTGACAATGGCTTATGACGAACAGAAGCCTCAAAACAGGTTGACTTATCACCCCGTGGCAACCCACTCCTCCCAACACCCCCTTTCTTGCACATCCGTGTTTGTTCTGTGACGGCAACCATGCATGCGTGAAGGATGCTGGGGGTGGGATATCATGTCTGTGATGGCAACCTTGAGCCCGCTTCAAAATCTTCCGGGCTCCTGAACTCCTCCCCTCCCCGCCCCCTTGAACCCCTTTCTTGCAGATCCGTGTTCTTACTGTGACGGCAACCATGCATGCGTGAAGCATGCTGCAGGCGTGGTGTCCAGCCCTGTGTGTGCTGTTTGTGATGATAACATTGAGTCCTCGGGCTCCTGAATCCTTCCTCCCCTCCCCTCCCTCTCACCCTCTTCTTGCAGATCCGTGTTCGTTCTGTGACGGCAACCATGCTTGCGTGAAGCATGCTGCAGGCGTGGTGTCCTGTCCATATTCTATCTGTGTTCTATCTGTGGCGTCAACCACTCAACGGTCTCCAATGCTCTCGAACTGCTTCTCCCCACGCAGATCCATGTTCATTCTGTGACGGCAACCATGAATGCGTGAAGGATGCTGAGGGTATGGGGTCCTGTGTGTGCAAATACCAGATGCTGTACGGCACGTGTGTCGGTACGTGACAGAAGTAGCTCGTGTTTCGGCATGTGATAGCAGGCGTGTGATAGCAGGCGTGTGATAGCAGGCGTGTGATAGCAGGAGTATTTTGAGTCGACTCAAAATACAACTGATAGCAGGCTAGCAGCCGTAGATGGAGTACAGGTGGGCTGTGGATGCCGTTGGATTGGAGCCTTACCAAAGCAGCTGGAGCAGGAGCAGTCGCCACTGCAGGCATGTGTGGAATGGCGTGGAATGGCACGTGTGTGGAATGGCACGTGTGTGGAATGGCAGGTTTGTGGAATGGCACGTGTGTGGAATGGCAGGTGTGTGGAATGGCACGTGTGTGGAATGGCACGCGTGTGGAATGGCACGCGTGTGGAATGGCACGCGTGTGGAATGGCACGCGTGTGGAATGGCATGCGTGTGGAATGGCATGCGTGTGGAATGGCACGCGTGTGGAATGGCACGCGTGTGGAATGGCACGCGTGTGGAATGGCACGCGTGTGGAATGGCACGCGTGTGGAATGGCACGCGTGTGGAATGGCACGCGTGTGGAATGGCACGCGTGTGGAATGGCACGCGTGTGGAATGGCACGCGTGTGGAATGGCACGCGTGTGGAATGGCACGCGTGTGGAATGGCACGCGTGTGGAATGGCATGCGTGTGGAATGGCATGCGTGTGGAATGGCATGCGTGTGGAATGGCATGCGTGTGGAATGGCATGCGTGTGGAATGGCATGCGTGTGGAATGGCATGCGTGTGGAATGGCATGCGTGTGGAATGGCATGCGTGTGGAATGGCATGCGTGTGGAATGGCATGCGTGTGGAATGGCATGCGTGTGGAATGGCATGCGTGTGGAATGGCACGCGTGTGGAATGGCACGCGTGTGGAATGGCACGCGTGTGGAATGGCACGCGTGTGGAATGGCACGCGTGTGGAATGGCACGCGTGTGGAATGGCACGCGTGTGGAATGGCACGCGTGTGGAATGGCACGCGTGTGGAATGGCACGCGTGTGGAATGGCACGCGTGTGGAATGGCACGCGTGTGGAATGGCATGCGTGTGGAATGGCATGCGTGTGGAATGGCATGCGTGTGGAATGGCATGCGTGTGGAATGGCATGCGTGTGGAATGGCATGCGTGTGGAATGGCATGCGTGTGGAATGGCATGCGTGTGGAATGGCATGCGTGTGGAATGGCATGCGTGTGGAATGGCATGCGTGTGGAATGGCATGCGTGTGGAATGGCATGCGTGTGGAATGGCATGCGTGTGGAATGGCATGCGTGTGGAATGGCATGCGTGTGGAATGGCATGCGTGTGGAATGGCATGCGTGTGGAATGGCATGCGTGTGGAATGGCATGCGTGTGGAATGGCATGCGTGTGGAATGGCACGCGTGTGGAATGGCACGCGTGTGGAATGGCACGCGTGTGGAATGGCACGCGTGTGGAATGGCATGCGTGTGGAATGGCATGCGTGTGGAATGGCACGCGTGTGGAATGGCACGCGTGTGGAATGGCACGCGTGTGGAATGGCACGCGTGTGGAATGGCACGCGTGGGAATGGCACGCGTGTGGAATGGCACGCGTGTGGAATGGCACGCGTGTGGAATGGCACGCGTGTGGAATGGCACGCGTGTGGAATGGCACGCGTGTGGAATGGCATGCGTGTGGAATGGCATGCATGTGGAATGGCATGTGTGTGGAATGGCATGCGTGTGGAATGGCATGCGTGTGGAATGGCATGCGTGTGGAATGGCACGCATGTGGAATGGCATGCGTGTGGAATGGCATGCGTGTGGAATGGCATGCGTGTGGAATGGCATGCATGTGGAATGGCATGCGTGTGGAATGGCATGCGTGTGGAATGGCATGCGTGTGGAATGGCACGCGTGTGGAATGGCATGCATGTGGAATGGCATGCGTGTGGAATGGCATGCGTGTGGAATGGCATGCGTGTGGAATGGCATGCATGTGGAATGGCATGCGTGTGGAATGGCATGCGTGTGGAATGGCATGCGTGTGGAATGGCATGCGTGTGGAATGGCATGCGTGTGCAGATATCAGATGGTGTATTGAACTGCACGTGTCGGGGTACATGACAGGAGTAGCTGACTCGTTACACATGTGTGAGTAGCCTTAGATAAGGGATGAAGGTGTGTGAGTAGCCTTAGATAAGGGATGAAGGTGTGTGAGTAGCCTTAGACAAGGGATGAAGGTGTGTGAGTAGCCTTAGATAAGGGATGAAGGTGTGTGAGTAGCCTTAGATAAGGGATGAAGGTGTGTGAGTAGCCTTAGATAAGGGATGAAGGTGTGTGAGTAGCCTTAGATAAGGGATGAAGGTGTGTGAGTAGCCTTAGATAAGGGATGAAGGTGTGTGAGTAGCTGACACTTAAGGGGCCGCAGGGGAATCCTGTGTGGAAGGGATAAAGCAAACGAGGTATCCTGTGTGCGCAAATACCAGATGGTGTATGGCACGTGTGTTGGTATGTGTCGGCCTAGTTCAAGCATTAGGTACGTACGTGTGCTGGCACGTGACATGAGTAGTTTCTTCTCCCCTAGCGTGTCACCCTAACTTCCCCCCTTCTTCTCTTCTCCCCTAATGTGCCTCGCTGGCTTCTCCCCTAATGTGTCTCGCTGGCTTCTCCCCTAATGTGTCTCGCTGGCTTCTCCCCTAATGTGTCTCGCTGGCTTCTCCCCTAATGTGTCTCGCTGGCTTCTCCCCTAATGTGTCTCGCTGCCTTCTCCCCTAATGTGTCTCGCTGGCTTCTCCCCTAATGTGTCTCGATGTCTTCTCCCCTAATGTGTCTCGCTGTCTTCTCCTCTGTTCCTTCTCTTCACAGGACCCGCCTCATGTGGGAAATGCTCTTCAGGAGCCACGTGCACCTGGGTTCCTCTCAGCAAAGCGCATACTATCTAGCTCACACTCTCTCCCTCCCTGTTGTCACATGCTGTCTTCTCCCCTGTTCTTCTCTCCACAGGGCCCGCCTCATGTGGGAAATGCCCTTCAGGAGCCACGTGCACTTTGATCCCCAGGTCCGCATCTGCTTACTGCCTCTGCGCCCCCGGCTATGGCATGACGGAGTCTGGTTGCGTCCTAGGTATGTAAGATAACAAGGCATGCATCCCAGGTATGCCCACTCTGCGCTCATGTCTCTCTCATGTCACGTACGCTTCTGTCTCGCACACACGTGCCGTACACCACCCTGTGCTTCGCCCCCCTCCAGGCGCCAGCCCCACCATGTCTTGCAGCAGCGTCACCATCTACTCCCCATTCCCCTCCTTCCACTCCCGGCTTTGTCCCCACATGCCATACCCTGCTCCGCTCCCCTCCAGTTCGCCCCACCGTCTCCTCCACCAGCTTCACCTTCTTCGACGCACCGGACTTCCGTGCGGAGGGAGCTCCTGGCAGGGTGGGCTACTGCAGCAGAGTAAAACATCCCCGTGCGTTTCCCCTCGTCTCATTCCCCTGTGTGGCCTCTCCTCCCCCCCCCCCTCTTCCAGGCGCCACCCCCACCGTCTCGTCCACCAGCTTCACCTTCTTCGAGCAGCCTGACTTTGTTATAACGCAGGGCACGTACACGCTGCGCGTGAACTACGACGGCTGCACCAACCTCACTTGGTGGGGCCGTTCCTACGTCGAGTCGTACACCCGCGTGGAGGGTGCGCCTGGCGGCGTGGGCGACTGCGCGAATCTCTACGCGTATGGCGGGCTGGGGTGTGAGGGGCAGCCAACCCCGCTCTACAGGATGGGCGAAATTGGCGCAACTGGCATTGTCACACAGACCTTTCCGTGAGTCGCATGCTTTCCCTCTCCCCTCCCCCTTTTTTAGACGGTTTTTTTTTCTCGCTTTTTTTTTTTACCCATTTGTTTCAAAGAAGCATCCGTGAGGGCCAAAGAAGGTTCATCCGGTGTGATTGTTGTGTGAAAATAGTGAGCCTTTTTTTATCAACATGCCATCGCCATTCCTCACGCTCCCATGTATGCACGAGCACAAGCACCAATTGCGTGTCCGACCACGCATTGGTGCGCACTCATCGCTCGTCACCTTCAGATCCGTGCTCCCTCATCTTGAGGTGACTTTTGAGTCGACTCAAAAGTCACCTCATTCAGATCCTTGCTCCCTCCATCTCTTCCTCACTTTCTCGCTCTCTCCTGCGTGCGTCACATTCTTTAGATTCTCACCTTCCCATTCATTCTTCTGTCAACTACATATCTGTTATATGTATAGTTATAGGCTAGACAGGGACGTGCTCTTAGAGAGTACAACACAAAATCTTATATTCCACTTGTATGCCCTGCTAGAGTTACTTTTGCTATCTTAACATCTTCATCCCTGCATGACTCCTAAACTGATGTTCTACCTACGTGCATTTGACCCATTTTTTTGCAGCATATTTCTTGGGATATTCTTCAGCTCTTTCCGCTGTATTCACTAGCGCAGCAACCTGGAGTAGTGCGTAGGAACGATACAGGCACTATGAGATCAGATGAATGCTGTCAGAGTGGGAAGTGATGATCATCAAACATTTGATTGACAAAGCTTACTACTACTTGTAATGCAAATGGCACCGTTCTCATTCCACTAGCATCAAGTACAAAGAGTTCCCAATATATTCATATATTAGCATAAACTTTCTACACTAGGAGGGATATGTCTATGCCGAGGATTATCCACCTAAGCGGTGCGTGCTGAAGAGGGTAGATGAAGCGGGTTGGGTGGGCGGGAATTGAACTTGAGCTGGGAAAAATGAAAAACGTGGGTGGAGGAAGAATGACCCCCAACCGCATTATATGGTTGGAGAAGGGCGAATAGCGCGCTTCGACGATGCCTGAGATTGCGTTACAAGCAGCTTTGCATTCACAATACACTATTTTGAAAGTGTGAACACTTTAAAATTTTACATATTTTGAAATCATGTAGCCATGGCTTGGTTGGTCTATATTACCGTATTCCCCCGTATATAGCACCCTAGGGTATTGTGAAAAAATCATGAAAAAAACGTATGGGTGTTAACAGTAGGCTGGAAAAATATAAAATGCTACCGTATTTGCCCGGATATAGCACTACGTGCTCTTATATCGTTTTAGGAGCAATTTAGGGGTGTTGCTTACAACTGAGTAAATTAATAAAAGATACGGGGCTTCTAAAATGTAAAGGTAAAATGGAAAAATTGAAGTGATTTTCCGTTACCCTTCCTGTTTCACATTTCCCTGTCGGCGTTTTCGCATCGAAACTGGATGACGAACTGCTGGAGGGAAATTGGACTCGATTCCTGCCAGATGCCACAACCGGATAGGCGTGACCCTCATTCCTACCTCGCACAACCTGATGCGCTCAGCTCCCCTACTACACGTTCCTAGTCTCGCAACTCCCTCGTTTCTTGCCTTTTGCTTCGACCTGTAAACTTGTATCGAAAGTAGACATATTCAGCATAAATGGTTAAAAGGGGCTTTTCCTATATACAACGGAAAGAACGGGTCTATACAGTGAGAAACCGTGATAAAAGAACTGCCGGAAATAAGCCCCACTGGAGCTTTAATTTTTTCAGGGTGTTGAATCCGGGCAAATACAGTAAATGAATTTGGGTTGTAACAGGCACTCTGAGGCCATAACTTCACCGAGCATTTACACACGAGGAATCTGCTATAGAGATTGCACACCCCGACAGGGTCAGTTCGGTGCCTCTGAAAACGGTAGGAGATTGATCCA